ATGAGGACATAAATTTGTATAATGACAAAGGTATGACATAGGTTTTACAAGGAGAAGGTGACTTTTCAGGACATTACCCCATGTCCCCACTTTTCAAAACGCTTATAAATCACACAGAATGGAGTGTATTGAAAATCTGAAATAGCACAAAGTCTCCTGTAAGGGGTAGGTTTAGGGGTAGGGTTGGTAAAGGGCAATAGAATATACGGTCTGTACAGTATAAAAACCATTACGCCTATGGGATGTCCCCACTTTTCACAAATGTAAACCTGAGTGTGTGTGTGTGTGTGTGTGAAAACGATGACTCCAATCCACAAAACTGTATAATTGTCATGTCTCTCATATTACTACATGGTCTCTTTCGTCCCACATCATTTTTTTTTAATCAAATCAATATTTAATGAAAATTTTGAATTTATTTGGTAAGTGACATTGTTGGTAAACTGCATCAAAGTGGTATAGTGAGTCGTCAGCCAGTCATTAATGCAAGCCACATTTTGTTGGGGTTTATTTAGTGACACTGATGGATGAATGTACATTATTTCTTTATATACTATAGTTTCATCAGATGCACACGCCTGGCCCGAAGTTAACTTCCGGTCTGTGTTTGTTTATCACTTCGCTTTGGCTTGTGGCTATGGCGCCGACTACAAACGCAGTTAAAGTTAAGGTGATGAGTAAACTGAAGTTGGGCTCAGGTTGTTGTGCTGTGGGATGCAACCCAGTGTTTCCCATACATTGATTTATTTGTAGCAACCCGCCACAATATCAAAACTGACCGTCATCCAAAAGGCGTTGACTTAATTGAATAAACATGATGAGCACTGCATGTTTCAAAATCAAAACGGTGCAGGGGTGTTTTTTATTATTACTGTATCTCTGAAGGAAATCGACTGTATTCAGAAAATGTTCATTTTCATTTAATCTTGCCTGTAATGCCTGATAAAGCAGCGTTTGTGAGCGCAGCGCTGCTTTGTGTCCAGTACAGCCTATCCCCATTAAATTAAATAAAACATCTTTATTATATTAGTCGTCAGCCAGTCATTAATGCAAGCCACATTTTGTTGGGGTTTATTTAGTGATACTGATGGATGAATGTACATTATTTCTTTATATACTATAGTTTCATCAGATGCACACGCCTGGCCCGAAGTTAACTTCCGGTCTGTGTTTGTTTATCACTTCGCTTTGGCTTGTGGCTATGGCGCCGACTACAAACGCAGTTAAAGTTAAGGTGATGAGTAAACTGAAGTTGGGCTCAGGTTGTTGTGCTGTGGGATGCAACCCAGTGTTTCCCATACATTGATTTATTTGTAGCAACCCGCCACAATATCAAAACTGACCGTCATCCAAAAGGCGTTGACTTAATTGAATAAACATGATGAGCACTGCATGTTTCAAAATCAAAACGGTGCAGGGGTGTTTTTTATTATTACTGTATCTCTGAAGGAAATCGACTGTATTCAGAAAATGTTCATTTTCATTTAATCTTGCCTGTAATGCCTGATAAAGCAGTGTTTGTGAGCGCAGCGCTGTTTTGTGTCCAGTACAGCCTATCCCCATTAAATTAAATAAAACATCTTTATTATATTTCTACGGTAGAGGAGAATAGCCAAACCAAAAAGAAACAAAGAAAACACAACGTAACATTCATAAAACCGTACTCAATGGAATGCACACATGTGACTGGGGCTAGTGCCATCTAGTGATCGCTGATTTTCTTTAGCTCAGCTGTGCATGGATCGCGAGCTGTGTGTGTGTGTGTGCATAGGGCAAGGCTAAAAGGGTGGATCGAAAGTCTCAAAATTCAAATGAATCAAATAGAATTGACTCAGAAGAGACGTGAATGAGTCGATAGAAGCGATAGTCTCTCCCGACAGGCAATCGGACGGTCGGATGAATTTCTGACATGTCAGAAATTTTGGTCGCCCCTAGTGAGGGTATTGCACAGTTGAAGCAGAGCCACGAACTGACTGCCCTAAACTTGGTGCTTTTTCCCTCACAGCGCCTGCGCGAAAATAGAACTTTAACCATTTAACTGATCATTTCCTGTTTTTATGAAGCCCCTCCCTCAGAAATACACGATGGGCTCTGATTGATTAGCTGGCCCAGTGTGTTGTGATTGGCTAAACCGCCTCTAGCGCGCAAACGTCCTGCCCCTAAACATATGTGGCATGTGCTCTGGTTGTATTGTAAACAATGACGTTGTCTGCTTATCAGTTTGAGACAGAGGATATTAGTGAAGTGGATCGTGC